AATTTCCTACGACAAACGGCGTCGATACTCCTCATCTTCATGCAGACCACTTGGTAGCGGCGAATACGCTCACAGGCTTAGTGCCTTCATGTAAGATCTGCTGATATCGGTGACGACACTGACTGTCGCCCGGAAGGCTCTGTTGGTAGTGGCGATGACGCTCGCCGTCTTCAAATAGACTATGCTGGCAGCGGCATGGACGCTCGCTCGCTTAATGGATGATATCTTGGCACGGGCGAAGACGCTCGCGGGCTTCGCTGTGTGCGCTCTGAAGTAGGGTGAAGATTGCTGTCTTTGTGTGGCTCGTGTTCTCAAAAAGGGTGGCGGTGATTCACGCCCTTCGTCTTCAGCGCGGACTAATGAATAGATCTGTACTGCTACATCCGCGCTGATATAATAGTAGTTGCGACGAAGCCCGTCCAGGCATAGTATTTAAAATAGCAAGGACCGAGCTCCAGTAACTACTGGCAATATATCTGCAAAAGAAGCGTTACTGGCAGCCTCGGTCTACACTACGTAGCCAGTTATTGGTCTATCCTGTTAGAATTTATAATTCTCGTTGAATTTACATGGGTGGGTTAGTAAAAGTGGAGTCATCTATACTAAATCATGATTTTAAAAGGACACTCATTTGACATTTGTATGCGCTAAAAGTAGTAGTGCACATCAAAGAGTTCCCAAATTAGTCCTTATTAAATCTCAGGCACCAAAGGCTTCATGAGGCTACCGGAGCTTGGGCACAATTTCCGCTTGTTGATAAGACCCACCTCCATGCACCATAGGGCACAGGTCTCTTCATCCTCTTATGTGGTACATGTAGGGGTCTGTGATGGTGAAAATTGTTGTGGTAGTGCAGTCGATATGCTGGTGGTTTGGAGCCTAGTGGACTTGTTTTCCTTAGTATATAAACCTAGTGAACGACAACATTACGATCCTCCGTTTTGGGCGCCAAAAGTGGGCATATTTCGCCAGAGAGGGGCACACACAATGTGCACACATCGTTGTTTTTTTCGCAAGCGTCGGATGGTAAGGAGGTGCGTGAGGTGTTGCTTTGTGGAGATTCTGGTGGGCAAGAAGTGGAGAAAGAAGCGTCTGGAAGCGTCGAAAGCGGTGTTGACGCGGCAAGCGACGCGCCGCGCCCATTGACTGATCACGACGATGAACACGCCGGTGAAGACGACAATGAGATGACTGTGCAATACACCAGGTGGCGATGGGAAAACACACATGGTTCTGAATTGGCGTCTGTGGAGTCAGTTGATGACATGGAGAGCAGTTCTCGCGATAATTCGGTGGCTGTTGAGCCGCCTTCCGTTGGCATCAGTCCTGGGAGGCCTGGCAGCAGTATTTAACTCAGTATTGCGATAGTATCCACCATATTCTCCCAGTTAAAGAGGCCATTTCTCATGCTGAAAGGCTAAGACGTTTGAAGAAGACCAAGAAAGCAGATGACGACTCTCTATTGCTTCCTGAAATGTGCGATCTCTACCAGAGAGTGTACATCTGTACACACGGCTGGAAGAATCGCAAGTCTCGAAGCGGAGGGACTCGACCCCGTCAGCACATTCGCTTGACGG